CCCCCCCCCCCCCCTTTTTTAATGGTTCGGCGCACACCGAGCTGTACACTCTGTCCCGACCCGACGCTCTTCCGACCCCCCCCCGCAGAACCAGAGGCTGCTCTTGGCCCGCTCAGACCCCTTGGGCTGCCAAGAACCTGAGAACGCTCAGAATGGAGGGCACCAGGCCGAAAACCGCAGGGCAAGCCACCGAGGGGATCCTGAGTCCCAGGCCCCCGCTGGGTGGCAGAGAAGCCTTGTAGAGAGCTCAGGAGCCCCTTGTATGCAGCAGAGGGGAGCAGACGGGTGGGCCGCTGCTCTCTCCCCATCCCGAACCCTGTGCCCTCAGCCGCCTTCTGCTCCCCTCAAGCTTCCCCACGTGCTTGGGGAGGAGAGAGTCTCAGAGGCAGCTGGTGTCTTAGGGGCCCCGCCCTAGAGGAGAAGAAGGAACAGTGACCAAGAGTTGGAGATCCACAGGGGTTTGGCAGCAGGGGACCCCAGAGCGGCCTAAGCCCCCCACCCTTGGGGCCCCGCGCCCTCTGATGGGCCTCTGGATAAGCCCTGCCTTGACTGCAGTGCCTGTCCCTGAAGTCCTGGGAGCCAGCCAGCAGAGGCCACCAACCCACTCTGGCCTGTCACCCATTGGCAGGCCCTCTAGGGACAGTTGTGACCAGGCCGCCCAGAGCCCCTTGGCTGCAGGACCAGCCTGTCCCCGGATGGGGGCTGTACTCAGGGCTCTTCCCCTCGGTTCCCAGCTGCAGGCCTGAGCTCTCACAGAAGGCGGAGGGCCCTCCAAAGTCCACCGCAGGGGAGGCCATGGCTCAGAAAAGGGTGGATCGCCCACCCGCCCCCAAGGACTCATTGTCCCCTGGGAAGAGAGGAGCCACGTGGGACCCAGCGAGGACAGCCTGGAGCTGAGCACAGCCTGGAGGAACGCCTGGGGCTGGAGGAGGGCAGGGAGTCTGGCCTCTGCTTCACTGGCCTCTGCTCAGACTTGGCCTCGCCTGCCGTGAAGGCTGGAGAGTACGGGCTGGATTCCTCCCCTGGAGCAGGGGCCCTACTAGTCTGGAGCAACTGGAATAAGCACCTAGGGATCAATGTGGCATTTCCACTCTCCCCCTGGAGCAGGGCCCTCCCAGGAGGGACAGCAGATGTCATTGTCAGGAGAGTGACACGGCCAGGGACTTGATGGGTGGCTGGGGGGCACCCCAGAACGGAGGTGGGGAGACAGGAAGGGACAGAAGGTAATCCTGGAGGACCGCAGGGAAGAGGCATCTCTTTCCTGCTTCCAGAAGGGGGCACTAGAGGAGGGACTCAGATTGAGGAACCCACAAGCCCGGTGTCAGGTCATACACACACGCGCGCACCCAGAGTGATCTCGGTCCTCTCTATCAGGAGGGCGTGCCCACGACCTTGGTGTGCAACTAGGAGGGGGTTCATTTCCCTGGGGAACACAGCTCCCCCAGAGCCCCACTCCATTCAAGATCCTGCAACAGCACACTTACAGCCCCGCCTGTGGGAGAGCCGCAGAGGGCTCAGGACGGGGACTGGGGGATGCCCCCTGTCACTGTGTGACCCTGTGCAAGTAACTAACCCTATCAGACCTCATTGTCCTCTGTTGTGAAAGAGGACACTAACTCTACCTCCCAAGACTGCTTTCAAGGATCAAGTAGAGTGACAGGAACCTCTTACCACCGAGTAAATGCCTCCTAATTGCTCGTCCCCAAGCTCTTCTCCAGCTCTAGCGTATGCTTTGTCCACACTAAAGCCCTCTGGGCCCTATTTCTCTGTTGTGCCCTAAATTGAAAGGGGCTAGGGAGGGCAGAGGGACACACGGGCAGGCCTCAGGCGGTGGGTGCTGGACCTAGGCAGAGGCCTTTGGCTGTGCCCTGATGTCAGGGTAGCTGTTAGGGGACCCCCCCATCCCTGTTTGCTGAGGATGAGGGGCTCCCGGAATTGGGTGAGCCTGTACCAGGTGCCCACCCTTGGAGCCTGCTCCCACGTGAACTCCCCAGGAAGGATACAGGATACTGGGAAAGGAATACAGAGCCCCCGCCCCGGGTCTCCAGCCCCGCTGGGGCCTGGGTGGCCTCTTTGGACCTCCAGTGCTCTGGGACATTTTCCTGAAAGCCCCAGCCTTTCATTTTTCTCCTTGTCCTTACCCTTTTTCCCCTGGAGCTGCAGGAGGATCCAGATCCTCAGGAGATCCTGGGCAGGGGGTGCATGGGGGTGGAGGTGGGGGTGGGTATCACACAGGCTGCTGCTGCTGCTGTTAGTGGCTAAGGCAACAAAGCTTCCTGAGCAATCGACTATGATGACAGGACACGCCCGTGGAGGGCTTCCTGTCGTGACCAAGGGCCGGGACACATAAAGAAAACCCAGCTCGGGGGGATGTCTGCTCTGCGGAACATAGAAGACACATCTGTCACCGTGGGACACACGCGCTCTCACTGGAAGTCCAGCAAGCAAGCCTCAAGTTCACGGTCCTCCCAGGTGGCTGCAAAAGGTTTCTCAGTCTGAATGAAACTGAGTCGGTGTATTGTCCTCCTTCAGGCTGATGGACTTGTTACCCCAGGGCTGGGAATAGGGAGAGCGGAAGGCCTCCTCTGCCCGCCCCTCCCCCCAGGGGGCTGCCTCAGCTGCAGAGAGAGGCCTCACCAAGGGCAGTCCCCCTCCCAGGGTGGCCCGTCACCCCTGACCGGCTGTCGCAGGCTCCAAAGCCCCGGCATCTCCTTGCCACCCTGGAGAGCATCCTGTCTTCAGATCTCTGCAGGCCTGAGCTTCCTGTTGACCTGTCCTTCTCTTCCCGGCTTGGTCCCCGGGCATGTTAGGCCTCCCGTGCTAACCTCCACCTCAGAATCTGTGCCCCCACAAACCCGACCTGCCACACTGCATTTTTACAAGGTGTCCTCCTTTCTTCGTTGTTTATTAACTATACACAGCCTATGGTGATTGTTTTTCCGTGGCTCTTCTAATGACAATTATTCTTAAAAACGTGCTTGATTACTGTGGTCTTTGGACAAATGCTTGGGGAGTGATTATGGCAGGCTGGGAGCTGGGGACATGGGGTGACTGGGGTGGGGAGACTCCCCTCCAGCCTCCCCGATCCTCTTCCCCCCCTGCCAGTTATGCTCCCCCGCTTCATTCTTTCCCACCCTTGCCAGAATATTCCCTGATTCCCTGCACCTCTTCCTGGAAATGACTCTCCCTCTCTCTTCTCCTCTGCCCCTCCAGTCCCCACATAACCCCCCCAGCTCCCAGGCAGGCCTGGACAAGAAGGCTCAGACCACTGGGCACCTCCAAAGGTCCCCTAACTGGGTCACTCCCAATCAGCCACTGCTTTACCGGGTGGGGAGGAGGTAGCTGAGGGCTGGGAGGAAGTGGTCAGCTATAGGGGAGAAAGAAAGGAGAAATAGGTTCTGCTTTCACCAGAGTTTCTTCCTGGGCTTCCACAGCTTTCTACATCCCAACCCCAGTGTGACAAGGAGGAAGAGGCTGAGCACAAGAGAGCCACAGCAGTAGCCGCAGAGTCTCCTGGAGCCTCAGTCCAGTCTCGGGGTTGTCGCCTTTCGGGGCTCACGTGTAGCACCTGCAGCGGGAAGGTCCCCTCGTCCCAGGCCTCCTACTGCCCCGTTGGAGCACGCTTCTTCCCTGGGACCAGCGAGGGTGGCTGTGCTGAATCCCCACCCCTGTCCCCCAGCCAGAAGCTCCCTGTCCTCGGGACTTCCCTCTCCCACCCCGGCTCAAGAAGAGGGCCCATGGCCGGGGGGGGCACACACCTGCTGCTATCTGTCCTTCTGATGCTCCTGGCATCATCAGGTGATGAGGACCAAGGGAGGGAACAGGGCAAGAGGAGGGGGAGGTGGCCGGGTGAGGCAGGCCAGAAGGGGACAGGGGCGGGGGGGGGGGGGGGCGGTGGCCTGAGGCTGCCTCTGGGGCCCTTTCTGCAGAGGAAGGCACCTATCTCCTGGCCCCGCAGTGGCAGATGAACTGCTCCCCGACCTGAGTTTCTTTTCAGGCTCCTGGGAACAGAAGTCACTGTTGCTGCACAAACGGGAAGGGGAGACGGTCTCCGTGAAGTGCATGTACCCGCCCTGGACAGGTCCAAACATGATGAGAGTCTGGTGCAGGGACATTTCAGCAGATACTTGTATCATGTTAGCCTCCAACACCAGGCTCCCGAGAGTGTCCGGGGATCCTCGAAACTCTATTCAGGATTATTCCAGTTTAGGCTACTTCATCGTCACCATGACTGAGCTCAGGGTGAAAGACTCTGGATTTTATTCATGTGGATTCTACAAATCCTCAGAGATCGCTATTCTCAGAAAATTCCGTCTGGTGGTATCTCGGGGTGAGTTCTTGCCCTTCTTCGTGTGGTCCTCAGCCTTCCTAAACCACAGGTGTTAGAGCTAGAGAAGACTCTAAAAGCATTTTCTTCTTGGCTCTCACAGCCGAAAACCAGTGCCCTTTGCCCAAGGTCACCGTGAATTAAAGGCAGAACCAGTAGAACTCAGACCTGCTGGCTCACTTGGTTCTTCCTTTCCCATCACATGTGTCTCTGAACAGTTTTGTTGCTACTAACAAGGCTCGTCCGTTGATTTCTAATGACTGTAAGGCTCCCTCAAGTTTGACGAGACTGGCTGCTGACTGGGCCACTCCTGGGCATCCCCACCCCTGACCCTAACCCCTAACCTTCTCTCAAAGGGTTGTGCTTGAGTCCCAGGAAGCCAGTTGGGTTAACAAATGGCGGACAGGCAGGAGGCAGCCAGTCAGTGAGGCAGACGTGGGGCTTCGAGGGTGAGGTTGGGAGGTGCAGCGGCCGAGGGCTCAGAAGACATGGGTCCTCACCCTGGCCCTGCCCCTTATAGTCGAGAGACCATAAGCCTCAGGTGGGGAGCTTGGCGGTGCTCCCCATCTGAGG